TGAAAAAGCACTCAAACCATCACATATGAAATGTATTTCCAATATAGCCATCACAAATTTAATGATGTATTCTTTTTGCTTATGATGTTTTCTGATTATATATTCATTAAAAGTTTCATATTTATAGAACTAAATTGTTTGAGTTTCACCCATTTTTTCTACATTCATCGAGCATTATCAAAATTACCCCAAATCAAAATACTGATGTTCGGTCGGAAAACTAAAAACATAGTGCAAATGCTTTAATTTCCGTTGAACATATTACCAACCGGTGGAAACTAACGATTTTAAATTGGCTCACTACTTGACTAGCCTATTGGTCCTAAGTACATCTATAAGCGTGCCTTATTATAGTAGAAATTCTAGTTCTACACTATGTTTGTTTTGATTCGCTATGAAAGTTTGACAGATAAAATGAGGGGTTAGTGGATTTTCCTATGTTTCGAGGGGTGCATCGATTAGCTTGGGACCGAAGAGAGTACCAGAGCTGAGCCAAAAAGTTGAGCACGTTATTTCGGGACCTTCTAGTCTTAGAGTTACCTCTATGATAACGAATTATCTCGTGGAACCTCAGTACTTGTTTTAAAAATATAAAATTTGAAAAACATTCATTGTTGTACAAAATATTTAGAATATACTTTAAAAAACAATCAATTTTACCCCGTTTTACGGTACCGTCTTCTGATAGGGAAAACAACTGCCTGCCCAACTAACATTTTCAGCTTTGTAAGCCAACTTTTCCAGCGTTGTGCTGTAAAGTAGCTGAAAAGAAGCTGCAGATACAGCTACAAGCAAAAGCTAGCAAAATAGTTTTGAAGAGCGTTTACTCAACTTTCTCACAACCATTATTCAATTTGTCAGACGCACTGAATAACATCAGCCAATAAACGCTAATGTCACTTCTATACACACACTAATCAACTTTCCACTTGTAGCTGCAAAACAAAGCTAACAAAGTGAATATATTACTCATTTGATGGCTTCTACACAACCAACAACTCTTGCTGAATAACATAAACATCAAAAGTGCTTTTTCAACAACTAAACAACCTGTACTCAGCTTATAAACTGTATTAGAGCAACTTCGGAAGCATTTTCACAGTCAACTAGGTTTATTTTTAGACGTGTGCAGTTTTAGAGCTTTTACTCTGCCCTTTTTATAACTAGTCGAGAAAAGTGATTAATGTGCACTAGGGTGCTTCATTCTGAAAAAAGTGATGAATTTCTGATGGGCCACCCTCCAGTTCGATTCATAGCCCCAAAATATGAACCTGTGCAAAAATTGGTAAAGATTGATGAAGGTTTAGAGGTCGCGCCAATGATTTGAAATTTGTATGGGAATTACTATGGAAGAATTTAAAAAATCGCTTATATCGCTATAACTTTGCTTCTACTTGTCCAAATGTCGAAAAAATTTATTATGTTATTGCTATGGCAATAAACAAAAAGCCTACAGTTGCTACGCTCAGTTTTGCAGCGTATCAAGAATTATAAAAATGTGAAAAAATGGCAAAATAGGGTAAATTGACAGATGAATATGTACAAGGCAACAACGCCAATTTCATCGCAACAACAACAGGCTTGTTGATCATTGTCATGACAACCACATATTTTTTTTTTCAACGTTTGGACAACTACAACCAAAGTTAGAGCAATGTAAACGAAAATCAATAATTTCCCATACTAATTCACCAAAATCTCCATACAAAATCCAAATCATTGGCGCGACCTCTAAACCTTCATCAATCTTTACCATTTTTTGCACAGGTTCATATTTTGGGGCTATGAATCGAACTGGAGGGTGGCCTATCAAAAATTCATCACTTTTTTCAAAATGAAACACCCTAATGTGCACTATTATAAAGCCTCTACTCAGCGATTTTGTTGTAGAAGGGAATGTTGATTTGTTTACATAAGTTCAAAGTGTTGGCGTAGCACAGTTGGTAGTGTCAGGGTTTGCCAATGAGGTCGTCTCGAGTTCGATTCCAGGTTCCGGTGCAGGGTAAATAATTTGGTGATGATTTGTAACTAATTTCGATTAATTTGATTCACAGCAAAATAAACTCAATAAATTCCTTCATAAAAAAGCGTAAACAGTATTTAACCCGGCTTCAAGAGAAAGCTGTGTAGTGATTATTGGACAACCGGGAAAAGGTTGAATAAGCGCCTTTCAAGTTCACACACAACTAAACAGCAGGATAACAGCTGTATAGAAGCGTTAATGGATATGCAATAAGAGCTTCTCCCGACCGTTCCAACAGCCATAAGTAGCTGACTAAGTTCGCCAGATTTGCTTGTATAGAGGTTGAGTAAAGGTTTCCTCATATCGTATAACGTTTGAATACAGCTTGAGACTGTATAAATGAAATGAGTAAAGCGTTTACATTGTGAAAATTGTTAGTTGGGTGTTGCTTTATCATAAAATGCAACCTTCACTCTCTTCTCTGCTTCAGAGACCTACTTCAAAACTAATGATGGAGCTATTGAAAAAAATAACGTATTTTTTGCGAATTGTTTTATCCCACAACATGTTTTTGTGTATGATACTAAGGTGCAAGTCAACAAAAAATGTGAAATAGAGTCAGTTCCTATTGTAGTCGATGTCGAATTTAGTGCACATTGATCACAGCAAAATAGATCAACATTAATCAAAATTAATCAACACAATATAGATTTTTCTCCTTTACTTCGTCGTAACAATTTTGTATATTGAAGCAGAGTTGATAATAGAAGAGTTACGCAGACTGAAACCAAAATCTACCTATCGCACTGTCAAACTGTCTACCTATCGAGCATACTAGACAAACCGACTCCGTTGCGTGAGAATTATTGTTATCGAAACTAGAGGAATCTTTCACAACCCAGGTGAAGTCATCCGAGGTGTAAACAAAAACAAAGGCGCCAACATAAAATAATGGCCATTGCTCGACATCAGTGTTGCAAGCTTCACTTTGCGTAACTCTTCTATTATCAACTCTGAATTAACCACTTCATTCGAGCAGCGCTGCCATTTATACAGATTTATCTGTATTATACAGATTTTTTAATCTTAATTCAGACCCGATACAGAATACAGATTTATCACAGATTTTTATATTACAATACAGATTTATACAGATTTTTATAAAATGCTTGAGAAAAAAAAAAATCTATATCAAAATAAGTTATCAAGCAGTTCTCACTAATATCAATATATGTTATAATTTTGATATTCTTCGCATATCTTTTAGCTCTCATTTTTGTTCTATTAGCCATCAACTCCATCAAAATGAAATCAATTTGAGTTATCAGGAATAATGAAAACAACATAATTCTTGTTTTCATTTTGTTCTCACCCTCTGCTCGGGAACCTATCAAATTTCCATCGACAATTAATCATGTTATGGTGTTTTTGACAGCATTCACAACCAGAGGACCAACCGCTTTCGGATGCATATGGAGCTGGTAGTAAACGATTTGAGATTGTATGGGGATTTACAGTATTAATTGAATATTTCCAATATAAGCATGTATGTTAAATACAAGAAAAGTGCCCGAGCACATTAAAATGGTACAAATACAAGTACTCGTAAACATTTTACTTGCATTGAAAATGTATTTCGTAAGAAATAGCGGATTTTCTGATATTCTCCATACTGCAAAAATGATTTTACCAGCACTGGCGGGGCGACATCTCTCGACTTTTCGGTGTAACTACCACACAAATGATGTAATTAATTGTATTCATCTATATTAAAAATATCAAATAGTAATGAACTCGTGCACTTTTTTGCATTTAAAACTGCTTATCAGGAAGATAATGAATAGAAACTAAAATCTCCATACATTTTCAAACGGCTTCATATCACTCTTATAAATAAGTACGGACGATTCACAAATGGCGCAATTATATCCCGTATGGTTAGTACGATAGCCCGAATAGGTGGTTAAGCACTTTTTATGGTTATTTTGTATGCACTGTATTTGTAAAACAACAAAACATGATTAATTAAGAAAAAAATCGTCAATACAGAAAATACAGATTTTTTAATAGAGTGGATACAGATTTTTTATAAAACCACCTGGCAGCTCTGCATTCGAGCAGATAAAATGACGTTTACTACCACTCGAACTTTGAAATGAAACATTATTTTGAGATTTTTTCTTCTAGAACCTCGAAAAAAATAGCCAACATTTGTGCGTTTCACAAAAAAATAGAAATTAGTTGGTCCAGTTTTGTGAAATCGCTGGTAGAAAGTCACACCAAAACTGCTTGACAAAGTGGTCAATTGAAGCTGGTATTGTGACGCCCTGGTTGCCGCTATACAAGTTCAAATCCAATGGTACCCGGTGCCGATGGTACGATCGAACAGTAATATTCGTCTTGGTATTTTCACTAATGCAATTACTGTACCAATAAATATAAACATTAACATCGCATTTTAATCACTTCGGCAAATAAGCCATTTCTTAATCTATGAGCAATACCACAAACAATATGGTTTCCTACTATGTATTGTGTTTTTCGTTTAGACATACCTAAGGGAGTTTCTTTCCAATGAAATTACCGAATTAAGTCGTTGTTAGATTTTTTGTTACGTATCATCAATAGAATGCTTCATTTTGAGTTTAATACTCGAACAATGCGAGTTCGTTTGAAAAAAAAAACAACTAAAAAATAAATGAAGACTGAGAGGTTGGACAAAAGATTTATGGTTTGTGTTTGACTACTTATTATGTCACTTTATCGTTTTCAATTTTTAAAGCTCCACCTTTTGTCTATCTACTTCGATGACAAAGCTCAACAAGTCAGTTCCAGTTGTAGTGAAATTGATGTAGTTAACTGTCACTGCAGCACTCACTTACAGTAATACCAGAATTTCAAACCTTTTTCATGACTCCTAAACCTTCTTCAATCCTTGATTTTCTTGCATTGGATTTAATTTTTTGGTTATGCATCAAACTGGTTACATGATCGACATGATTACAAATATATTTCTCAAAATGAAGCACCTTCACTCTCACGAATGCGAAAATGATTTGCTACATACCTTATATGAATTTTATTCCAAAAGTTATCACATTTTTGAACATGTACTTTGCTAATAAAAATTTATAAAAAATATCTATTCTGATTACGTTGCCTGCATCTTTTGCAAAGCGTCACGTGCAGCCACAGCCATCTCGTACTCCTGTGAACCGGGTGGCTCGAAGGAAAGAATTGCCGCACTTTGTTTGAGTAATTGTATCACTTCAGTTAGCATTCGCTTCAGTTGGTTAGCATTGATCTGCCCAGTTTCAGATTGGTATTTTACTTGAATCATGATCGGTGCATGTAGCTCGTACATGATTACGCCCCTCAACCGACTGAGCCCTGGTTCATATGCAGACACCACAAGCAGCAGATCTCGGCAGATTTTTTCTTTCTCTATGATTTGCTCCAGACTCATTTCCGAAATTAAAAAGCCAGAAATTTTGCCATACAACTGGCAGAGAGAATGCTTTGCTGACAGGAATAGGTAATGATTGTCGTGTAAGATATGGCGATATTTGGTGATGAAATGTTCGTACAACTCGATACCATTTCCATCAATGGCATCCAATTCTTTGAATAGTCTGTCCAGGAGTTGAAGGACATTTTGCGCTGGTATTATGTTTGAGCAAGATTTGCATTTCCAATCCGCGTTTTGGTCCAAAGGGTTGGTGGTAAGGATGTGACCTTTCTGGCATTTGGTGCATTTCATAGTGCTGCAATTTGTGCCAAACTCGGTGGGATCGGAACATCGTTTACATTGGCACCAGAAAAACTTGCTTTCGTACAAATGTTGCCTTCGCTTCAGGGTGCCTTGGAGGGTGTACGAATAGGACAGCGTAATTGGTTCGCCTGCCTTCAGGTCATTGGTTAATCTTATCGATAGCACTTGAGTCTTCGGATCATCGGTGTGGGTGGTGTTGGGAGTGCAATCGTGCATGATGTAGAATGCCTCCGGGTACAATGCACGAGCATGGACCTCACTTTGACCAATCTGGAACGAGTTGACTTCAATTATTCCGCACACCGTATGAATTTCGCTTTCGGTGAACTCATCGAACTTCCACTCGTCGCGGATGCGGCTCACAATCAATTGCTGATTGCGTTTCCAGAGCGATGAAATTTTCTGCCGTAGTTCGTTAAGGGCTTCCATTTCCAGCAACAGTGCGTACCTTTCCGGATCAGACTTTTTTAGCAGCAGACAGCGGAGCGCAAAAATAGCCTCATACATTATCTTTATCTGTTCGGCGGAGCTTGTCTCGAAAAGTTTTGCCACATTGTGCTCTTTGAGTGGATTGCATTCCAGTTTTCTATGGTCGCCGCTGACGGTAAGGCTGCTGCAGCTGGTAGAACAAACACGCCACCCACAGTGGGCACATCTGAAAGAAGATGAAGATATCCGTATTTGTTATGATGTCATTAGAATTGAAATTGCTTTTAGAGCTGAATTAGAGTAGATGCACCAGTCATGGCCATGCTATGTTTTTATAATGGTGTATTTCATAATTGCGTGCGCAGAATTCTAAGCTGAAATGTATTTGAGTTAGTTGTATTTTTGAGTTAATTTAATTTCATATAAAACATATTCAAATGTGGTATATTGGCTACGTTTATGACTCTCTTGGTATATCAAATATAGTCATCATCTTTACCGTATGCGTGATAATGTTTGCACCATCGTACAAATAATGTTCCCGTTTCACCTGTGCATACAATGCCTTGGTTTTCTTTGCAAGCACGTAACCTATAGCTCATACCGTAGTAGCAACAATCAATACGAAACTAACGATTTTAAATTCGCTCACTACTTGACTAGCTTATTGGTCCCAAGCAAATCGATTAAAGTATCCCATTCTAGTCAAAATTCTAGTACTATACAATGTTTGTTTTGATTCGCTATGAAAGTTTGACAGATAAATTGAGGGGTTAGTGGATTTTCCTATGTTTCGAGGAGTGAATCGATTAGCTTGGGACCGAAGAGAGTACCAGAGCTGAGCCAAAAAGTTGAGCACGCTTCTTCGGGACCTTCTAGTCTTAGAGTTACCTCTATGGTAGTAGGCTGTGTATAAAAGAAAATGATTTACTTAGTTTGACAGTTGCACCATGACGAAGTGGAGGCGTATTCGTGATTTGTCCCACGCGCAAATGTCGCAAAAAGACATTTCAATCGCCGTGGGAGTGTCCCGGTGGGCCGTCAAAAGGGTTTTAGACCGAGAAAAGAAAGGACAACTTTCCGCGAAGGTGGCCACAGGTCGTCCGAGGTCAGCTCGGGTTCCGAGGGTTATCGCTGCTATCAAAAGGAAGATTCGGGTGAATCCAGTGCGTTCAATAAGGAAAATGGCAAAGGAACACGGGATCAGTGACTTTACGGCACGGAAGATCGTAAAGGAAGATTGCGGGGCGAAGTCGAGGACACGAAAAAATTAAAGGGTTGTGTCCTAAATAGACACGACCGCAGTATGACGTAGAACCACGTAAAATTGATGTTTGTCAAGCATTTTTGACTAATATACTTATGTTTATGAATGGGGTGGGGCCGAACGTTTCTTTTGTGCAGAATATGGAAAAAGGATGGATTTTGGATGTTAATCTACCAGATATGTTTTACAGTCAGTTGTTGGTAATTCATCGAATTTATACCTCCTCTTAAGCAATTTGTTTTTGAAAATTTTGACTCTGCGTGTAAAAAATTGTTTTTACTTATAAGGGGCTGTTCATAAACTACGTGGACAGAGTTTAAGTGGGGGGGGGGGGGGGGGGTGTAATTATCCACAGCCCATACAAATTAAAAAAAAAAATCGTATGGAAAATTGTCTACGCAGGGTGGGGGTCAAGAATAAAAAAAATGTCTACGTAGTTAATGAATAGCCCCTAATTGTGGTTTGCTTAAAATTTATTTCCCGGAAAAAAGTGATCGTCTAAGTCCACGTCTTTTTCGGGTTGTTGTTAAGGGGAGTTAAGAGGTTGTTTTTAAGGGTTGGGGGAGAGGTTATTGTTAAGGGGAGAGGGGGTTTACATACATAATTTTCCAAGTCTCATTCCTCATAGTTGTGGTCAGGGTGCCTTCCATTCATTTTGACAAAAAACATGTTTAATGAAATTACGGAATTATGATAATATTTTGTATGTGTAAATAACAAGAAAAGATTGTAAAGTTTATGTTTGACACAAAAAACATGCAAATTTAGCTTTAACAGAGTCACACTGAGCGATTTTCTGATCGCCTCTGCTCGAAGAGTGGGTGAGATAAATGACAAAATCGCTTATTGCGACGCTAATGTAGCAAAATTGGCAGGTATTATGCGTCAGACACAAACTTCACAATATTTTCTTGTTGCTTACACAAACAAAATATTATCATATAATCTTATTATTCCATAATTTCATAAAACATTTTCTTAGCCAAAATAAATGGAAGGCACCCTAGTTGTGGTCATGGTCACGCCGTGATCCACCTTTAGCCGCTGACTAAGTCCTGCTTGCTGCAGAACCAAGTGCCACGCCGTCCGAAGCGGTAATGAGCAGAGTCAGGAAAGCAGCGCTGTTTTATATCTTTTCAGGTTCAAGCAGAATGATGTGCAACCAAGTGGTATTTATCATGACTGTGTTTGGGGAAAACGTTTAGTTCATGAAAACAATAATAACATTATCATTCGCGCATTTTTCAAAAGTTTTTTGATTAAAAATTGGATAAGGTATTTATTTCAGCAGATTTGTTAGGTAATATTCTATCGATTGGCGTATTTAGATTTTAATTTCATCTATAAATGTAAAAGTTACAAGTGTTCAAAACCTAACACTATTTCACCACACATATTTTTTGATTTGTACCCCAGTATAGTCGACAAAGACGTAGTTCTACGTCAAAGAAAAACTCACATGATTACCAAACGCATCCGGGAGTCGAACGATGCAAGAAAATCTTGAACTTCCTTAAGCGAAAAAATCCGGTAATCCTGTTCACCGACGAGAGCATGTTTACCGTCGATCCCGTATCAAATTCCAGAGCCGACCGGTATATTAGTTCTCTTCCGGTAAAAGACGTGGCCGACGAGCACAAGAACGTGTATCTGACCAAGCATAATGCTAGCGTTATGGTGTTTGGATTGGTGGCTCCCGATGGCAAAAAAATGGACCCAGTGTTCATTCCAAAAGGCGACAAGGTAAACACGGAGTTCTAAATCGGGATTTTAAGTAAGTATGTTCTTCCGTGGATCAAAGAACAGTACGGTCCGAAGCCAAATGTTGTATTTCAACAAGATGGGGCTCCGTGCCACACCTCGAACCGCACTCAGAAGTGGTTGCAGGAACATCTTCCGTTCTGGGCGAAGGATATGTGGCCGCCATCCAGCATCGATCTTAATCCGCTGGATTACTCAATATGGCGCGTCATGAAGGACAAGGCCTGTTCTAAACGCCACCTGAGTACAGCAAGCATTAGACAAACATTGACCCGTACCTGGAGAGAAATGGATCTAGACTACATTATTAGAACCTGCCTTGCATTCCGGAAGCGTGTGGAGGCCGTAATTGCAGCAAGTGGAAACTCGATCGATGATTATCATATAGCGAATTTGTTTATTATTCAGTTCCAACCTGGATCGGGTATTAAGATTGGGTCTGCTTGTATTCTGACAAACGTCAGTTTGATCGTTTGTTTTTAAAACCTACCTCAGATTGAGGTTCGCACTGACAAAAAGTTCGATTTCGTACTGGGTTGGAACTGGTTCCAACCCCGATAATAAACCAATTCGCTAATAGTTTAAGACTCTGAGTTTAAGACTATTTGAATAAATAAAAAAAAAACTCGAAAACGGAATTTTTAAGATTTTTTTTTAATTTTGACATTGCTCAATGGTACAAACATTATCACGCATACGGTACAGGATCTTTTGAAGTGTTTATAGGTTTACACTAAACAGTATTAAAAGTTTAATTGTATCCTGAAGCCGCTTAAAATGTTAAATAATGAACATATTTTTTTTAAATTACTTAAGATCATCCAAGGTTGTTTGACGTGTTAAGAGACTATCATTAAACATACATTGAATACTCCTTATTTTTTTAGAAGCTTTAAATGTATTAAAGCAATTTGTGAACAATCGGCATACAACAAATACAGTGCTTTCCCGATTTTGTCTACGATTTTGTCAGCTTTTTTCCCGATTTTGCAAGCCTGCAGATTTCATTAAACTTTTCAGTTTTTAAACATGAATACTCAAACTTTTCGCTCTGAATGATTTTTATTCTTATCATTAGTTGAAATTTGATTATTAGGGGCAGTTAGGGTAAAATTGTAGTATGGGGCAAAGTGAAAATTTGACGATTTTAAGTGTTTTTTCATTCAAATATCAATCAATTCAACGCAAAGGTCTTTCATCCAATGTACCTTTTATATTTTAATTCATTTTCATTAATATAACATAATCCTACTAAGAATTATTAGTTTTGAATTGCTGTTTGCTGGAAAAGTCATTTGTCGCACGGAAAACCGTTTTTTTTTGCAATTGCAATAAAAACATTGGTTCATTGTCAGCAACATTTATTCTTAGAAAATAAAAAAGAGCATTACACATTTCATTAAATTGTACATAACAGTTTTGAATGACTTTGAAGAGATTTCGTCATAGCAAATTCTCGAATTCAACGGAGATAAATAACATCGTCAATGCTTCAACCCAATCAACTCTATCAGCTTTTGTTTTGGATTGTCGGAGATTCCGGAAAGGGAGATCAACGGTGGATGCAATTCGGACAATAATCGAGAGAGCCGAGAAGGCGTCCAAGCAGAAGCGAAGAGGAGATCGATATTGCACCGTGATAACGATCGACGTCAAGAATGCGTTCAACAGCGCAGCTGGAAAGCCATTGCCAAAGCGCTGCATAGGATGAGGGTTCCTGACTACCTGTGCAGGATTCTGAGGAGTTACTTCTAGAGCCTGGTTCTGGTCTACGAGACAGATATGGGACAGAGATCGATTAAGATCACAACGGGAGTTCCACAAGGCTCCATCCTTGGTCCAACGCACGCCTTTGCCTCGAAGCGCGTGTTGAAATACCTGGAAGTGATGATCGATCACCGGCTAAACTTCAACAGCCTCGTCGAATGTGTCTGTGAAAATCTTTGGGAGGCCATCAACACAATAGCTAGAATCATGCTGAACAACTCTATTCCCAGCAATATCAAGAGGCGTCTTCTGGCTACATAATGAGGTATGGAGGTCCAGCCTGGTTTGCAGCACTGGAAACGAAGCAGAACCAGAGGAAACTGAGCAGGACGTTCCGGCTCATGGTCATGCGAACCGTGAGTGCGTATAGAACCATCTCATCGGAAGCAGTATGTGCTATCGTTGGAATGATCCCTATCGGCATCATCCGGCGGAGGACAGCGAGTGCTTAAATCGGAGAGAGGCCGTTAGAGTACGGAAAGCACGCATAAATAAGCACTGTTGGTCATATTATCCCATAGCACGCTGTACCCTATAAGGATTTCATTAATTTGTAATAGTTTTGATCAAAAAATAATGCGAAATTTTTTCCCGATTTGGTCAGTTTCCCGTTTTTGTCTAAAATTTGAGAAGGGGCTGACAAAATCGGGAAAACACTGATCATACAGCATTTTTTCTCGTACTATTTAAAGATTAATTAATATAAACAGTTCCCCAGATGATAGTTCAGCAGCTCTTCTAGTGATTCTAAGAGCAAACCAATTAAATTTGTTTTGAAAAACACGTAAGTTGGAGTTGATAGGGTGTCCCAGAATGTCTAAGCATGATTTAAAAAAACGATACCGTTACTCTGTTTACTGCAAATTAGATTTTTATTTCGTATTCATGTTCTCTATAGTATTCACTTACAGTTTAACGTAGAAAATCCGAGATCCGATCAGTCGTAAGCCAAGGAGTGAATTTTTGATCTCACGCTACTCATTAGCTTCAGCACAGTTGTCTTTCCAACAATTTTGGATACATTTTCCCAGACTTTCGCAAACTTTGTAACGGAATCCGCTGCCTTTTGTTTCCACAAAAATGCTTTGGTCAGAGCCCAAAAAGTTTCGATTGGCGGATTCATCTCCTTGAAGCTTGCCAAACCATAGCCTTTTTACCGAATTTTTCTGTAAACATTGACTTATCCTCGTCGTCAACGAAGTGTCCATCACGAACGGTGTAGTATTGATCACCAGGAAGAGTTTTGTAATCAAATGTATCGTATGATTCATCGTCCATAATCACGCTCACCGATTTTTCGCACAGCAATTGGTCGTATAAGTTCCGAGCACTTGTTTTGACGGATGTGGTTTGATTTTCACTCCGCTTTGGCTTTTTCTGCTTCTTATAGGGGAAATGTTTGCTTCGGCAATACCTTAACCTATTATCGTCAGGGGGTAAACAACGTCCTTGAGGGCTCAATTTTGGTATGTGGATACATTGTAATTGAGAGCATCCATTGGCCAAATTTAAGTGCTCTAGGACTTTGCTTACCCCCTGACGATAATAGGTTAAGGTATTGCCGAAGTCAACATTTCCCCTACGTCTTTAGCCACAATCTTGCCGTGGTGCGCTGGACGTTACTCTTCGAGGATCCTACTTATTTTTTTTAACTCCTTATTTGCTCCAAATTCAAAATAAATTACATTTCATTTTAACCTAGGTGCTCCAGCTATTATAGTAACTTACCAGCCTTAATTTTTATGTTATATCTAAGTGTTTTAACATTGTTCCTGCATTGGCAATTCAGTATTTTAAACAGGTTTTTTAAACCTGCATGTCAGTGTAAAAATTGAAATATTAAAACTTTTTTTTTTTTTTTGGTAATCACAGTGGCAGCAACTTGCTAAAACTCTACACTGGACCCCTTTTATTGATAAATTTTGCTTCTATGAGCCTCTATTTTAAATCAACACACAGAGACGTTCCTAGGCTATGGTGCCCGTTTGATCACTGTTGTTTTTGTGCTGATCCAAATAGTTTTGATAATATATTTGCGCATTTTTGTTTTTTTTTAAAAGGTTGGTTTTTGTCCCAGTCTTGTCTTCTGTCGTCACTTATTTTGTCATTTTGTCTTGTGTATTAACCCCCACTTGTCTTGTTTATTGTGTCAACTTGTGTCGATTGTCCTTCCCCATCTGTTACTCTGTCATGACAAATTTCATTGATATATAAAAATAGTAATATCAATATCAATATCAAAAAAATTAATAATCAATATCAATATAATATGGTTATTTCCCGATTACTTTTTCAAAGGGAAGCACCAGCTCCTGCAAACAATGCATCCGATCGTCGACCTGCCGCAACCGGCAGCTCGCACACGCTTATCAACACCACCAGCAGGTAGAGGAAAATTTCCCCTATCTGATGATAGTGCCAGCCTGCGTGGGCGAGCCACCAGTTAAGCCAAATCGACGACCAAACGCACCGCCTACAAAAGCCGATACGCTCCCTTGAAAAAGTTATCGAGATTTCTACTAATTAATGATTTATTGAAAATTACCTCTCATGATCCTTGGCTCTGATTTTAACTTACCACTTTTTGATTATTTATCAAATACCTCTCCCAGAATATATAACTCCCCGATGCCTTGTTGGTTTCTGGTCTCATTTGGATTGATCCTGAATTTGTTTGACATCCTGTTCGAAGTAATTCTTTGAGTTCCAGCTTGAACGTGTCTCACGTCATATGATTCGCCATTCATAAAGATAATGGGTTAAAAGGGAGTAAAACATACATAAAGGTAGATTGGTATTAGTTGTACTTGATCCAAACAATAAAAAGAAGCATAGATTACTTAGTAGAAAAATAAAACTAATATATAACTAAAAGTGCAATGGATAAGTGTTAGTTCCGGGATCATTTTAGTGTTAGTAGTTATGTTAGTTTTGATCCGTATTCAGCCCTGCCGGCCCCTCTAGCACTATTTGCAGCAATTGTGATAAGATTATGCGACACTGCTACTACTACTATGTTAGATGTATGACTTGTCAATTTTCGCAACGCAATGTTTTTCAATAAATCACTCAATCAATTTGATGTTTGAAAATTTGCTCAAAAGGGCTTTGTTGACACATCATACCTTACCGAAAACTAAAGCACAACAATCCTAATTCTTATTTCAAACCCATCAACATATTTAACACATCTTTCCTAAAACTTCACTTGTTCGTAAGCGCCTGGTTGAAGATATGACTTTCGCTATTGACATTGTCTGTAATTAACAAATACACTAAATAGGAAGATTTATTATACAACTTCATATGCTAGTCGCCTCCCTAAGCGGACCCTCCGCGTCCTATCTCTTATGTTAATTAACTTTCTGAATTCTATAATTGAAGTTTATTTAATAAATAACTGAAATCTCTAATCTACCTACACAATCATAACCCATGCTTTTAAACTACAATTTAACGTGTTTCAAGTACTTCTGGCTTTTACATATCTTATCTTATATCTTTGTTAGTCCCAAATGACACCTTCAAGTGACTAAAATCCTTCACTTTGAAGTTAGTTTCCAAGCTAATTTAAAATTGTATATTGTATAGGGTAAATGTTCCAACTACGCTCTCACGCTTCCACTATGTGGCCCCACAAAAATACATGGGTATGTCACAATAGAAGCACACCACAGTGGAAATCCCGAGCCATAGTTCAAACACTTATCCCAAATCAAAATGAAGCACATATAAGATTAGTTACAATACCATGTACAAAAATGATGTTTAACATTGTTTTCTGAGTAATAGGGTAAATGTTGGCTTCGGCACCCATTGACTGTTTTCGGCAACCAAAATTTAAACGTTAATTTCACTATGTTTTCCCATCAACGCACTTCCCTTAATGTGTCCAAACGATTGTTTAGCCTTTCAGCTTCAATCTGATTATAATTGAACGATCGAGCAATCCAGTAATGCTACATTTTTCTTCAAATAAAGCATACGCACTACAAAATGGGTTAACAGCTGGTTAACACGCAGTTCTAATGGGAAGGTTGCCGAAGAAAAAGAGGCTGCCGACAATAGTCACACTCACCTGAGAAGTTTGGAGCGTTGTAAAAACGCTTTCAAAACGTTTTGAAAAATTCTGTCGATTGGAATGGATAGAAAAGCAAGCAGCAGATGAATGTAAACAAACAGACACATCATATATGTGCGTGACGCTGAGAAAATGCTAGTAGAAGTGCAGACGCTGCTTAGATTGACGAGAATAAGTAAATTCCCCTACTTCAATGGAAACAACAATGAAAGCTTGTCACGCAAATAGAAGGAACACTGTTGGGCACTTTCTGAAATATTTCAATAGTATAATTCCCTTGCAAACCCAAATGAATCTACCTACGTAAAAATAAATAAAATAAGAGTGATTTGCGACAAAACCCGCCAGTATCACACCTAACGTCAGTGCCTATACGTAAGCGTACTACGACACGGCTCTCAATTAAAGGAGTAACAATTGTGATACTATCACTGCTAGACTAGATCTTTGGTTCTCTCATGCAGTGGTTTATCAGAGAGGGGAAGCTTAGTAATCCCCATTGCCTGCCCATGACGCCATTCTATCGCGGCATAAGCCAGCAACGCCGACCTACCGTCTCCAACACTCCACTAGCATGAAATTAAGCCCGCCCACCAACAGCAAGGTGCAAAAACTAGCCAAGGGGAGGGAAAAATTGAAATATTAAAACTTAAAACTAAAACTAAATCTTTTCTAAGTACAAAGGGAATTAATCGTTGCAATTGAGGATTGCAACGATTTTTGCCTGAAATTATAAATAATTTTGCTGGACATTTGTTCCAAAGTCTCAAAATTCAAAATTCTATGTACCAGGGAGGCAACTTCAAAATCATCTTCAGAACTATGTTCTGAATCCTTTGAAGTGTTTTTTTTTCCTGGTAGTGCAACAACTAGACCGTATTGGCACAGCGTGTCCACTTATGGTGGTATATGCTCCAACCGGTATTATCCTCGGATTAAATGTTGATAACGCATCTTGGCCTGCTTTGATGTCGATGTCAATCAAACATTAGCTTACTGCCATTAATGTCTACTATAGCGATTACAATGGCTACTTACCTTACTATTTTGGCACCTTTTTCAAAACGTTTGTAGCATCCAATGCAAACGGGTTCACTGGCAGCCCAAGGGCCAATGGCCAACGGATCAACCTCGATGATTTTTTCTCCTGCTTTGAGATTTCGCGCTGCTACTAAGTATCTAAGTGATAAATGGAATGGAAATTTAGTGTGCAAATGTTCAACATTATTCAGCTTGGCGAATATATCTTACCGACCACAAATGTCGGAAAATCTCACAATGTATGGTTTATTGTTGTTTTCTTCCTTTGGAGCGGGGACGTGATTGGAGTCTTTTGTGGCAATGTCGTCCGTTTCGTCCTCCCCATCACTGGCTGCATTCTGACGATTTTTATGTTTCCGGTGTTTCTGCAAGTAATGCCAGATTACAAGTATCATTTATTTTTATTTCTTTTAATATTTATGCTTGCATTGAAAATAATTTTTCCCCTCCCGAGACCAGGTTGATTGAATAGTTTATCTCAGCTATAATTTAAAAAATGCAATGCTCACAGCTGAGGGGCCAATATCTCATAATTATTCATATCACTCGTCATCTCAATATCATTCTTTTTTTTCCGGTCCCTGGTGGCGGTAGTGTCGGATGGAAATTAAAATAATTTTGACCGAATTTTTGCCCAAGCAGTATCGACAGGAGAAATATTGTTTCAATTCGGAACTTTACGCGTAGATGAGCGATAATTTTGCCGCAGATGGCACCACCACTATCCGAGACCGTGCATATTATTTTGCGTCATGTGACGAGAATAAATTGTTTGCCTGGCCTGATGGGTGAGCTGCTTTTTAAATTATTTGTACGTGAATTGGCGCCTTTACGTGTTGGTTTTTCTGTTGCTCTCATTTAAATGTTTATTTAATTAATTGCTCATCAGTGTTGCATGCATTCTTCGTTGTATTGTTTGTTTTTCTTTCCTCTGGGATCGTGGCTGCGGGTCATTTCAACGGTGAAATGTTGTGAATTTGACGATTGGTAGGGGCGTAAATAATTGAACGCTACAGAAGTCAAAGCAAATGTTTTCACTGCGGTTTTTAGTAAAATAACAGTCCTATGGGCTTTATAAACGTTGCTCAGATTTTTTGCACATACATATATCGCGCAAACCTAGCTAGTAGGTACAATAAATGTAAAGGCCCACACACAATACATCACTATTTGATAACGGAAATTTATCAGAAAGGCTAAGAAAGAGCTGAAAAATTATGCCAACAAAGTTTTGTTTCAACTTCTAACGGCACTGCCGCAATAACGGAATTGGTGTGAACTAATTGTTTTTAAAGCTCAAGCTTGGTTTTATATTAAGTGTTTTTTTTTCCTAGCTTATTTTGAAAATGATCTTGTTTTTTACCACAACCGTTATTAGCTGATAAATTTTACACTGTTGCTGGAGGCGATTGGAGGAGGCAGACCAGAGAGAAGGAAAGGCTGATGGAAGTGGGGAACGTTCAGCATCCCCCAAAGGCCCGTCAGCTGATTCTGACTCAGGTGGTCGCTTCTACAAAGATGTTGCTAGATTATCCCCATCAGCAAATGTCCACGGCACAACTTGATGCTGTACAAAATGTTCTGCTGCTCAAAATCGAAGAGCAAAGACATGAGGTAGTAAAACCAAAATTCACCAAATGCTGCTAAAAGAATGGTTATTTGTCCTTAGTTTGTAAGGATCAAGCAACAGCCACGTGACTAAAGGAAGTGACGAAGGTTCTTGCCCCTTGGGAAAATGCAGAAGTTTTTGCCCTGAGCGAGAAGGAGGTCCCTCGTCCGGATTTGTTCCACGCATTCTTCCCTCTAAGTGCCGAATCTAGCAATGAGAGGCTTAAGGGACTCATCGAGAGTCAAAATGACGCACGAAAGGCTGGAACATACTGAATTGTTCCAACGCAAATAAACATGCCGACTGGACACTAAACGCTGATTCAAGCTCGCTTAAGACACTATCGGAACGTAACTTGGTGCTGAACTTCCGTTTTGGTGAAACGCAGTTCAGGAAAATCAAAACTCGAGAATCAAACGATGGGTCTATCGCTCGCTCTAAAGGCAAAAATGAGCGAACCAATAAACAAAATGAAACCCATTAGGTTACTGCAAGCGAACCTCCACCATGCAAAAGGTGCTTCAGCTGTATTAAGTCGGAGGTTAAAAAAGGAGGGGCTTGACATGGCTCACTCAGCCATGGTCCAATAGAGGAAAAATAAACGGTATCGACATAATAGCTTGTAAGTTATACTATGATGAAAAGCAAAGTTCACCCAGAACTGCTATTCTAGTTAGTAAAACATTGAAATGCTACCCTATTTCAGAATTCATCAAACAGAACATCGTCGCAGTCATGGTTGATGTACCAACCACCAGGGGGGGGGGGGGGACCGAGATAGTAGTTGCTTCGGGTTATTTTGCTGGTGATGCTTCTGAGGTGCCTCCTCCGGAGATCGCATCGTTAGTCCAGCATTGCAGAGAAAACAACAAATCGTTCATCAACGGCTGCGATGCCAACGCGCATCATACCGTGTGGGGTAGTACGAACATCAACAGTCGAGGTGAGTGCCTTTTTTTTATATTAATTTATTTGTACAGGCTCAATCGAATAAACTTTACAGAGCCGAGTTATCATTTTCATTATACATGATTAATGTCTTAAATCTAGAGTTAAAGGAATTGAACCGATTACTCGCGGTCGTCTCGAGGTTAGTGGAGATTTACAATTTTTTGGATGGGGAAAGGGAGAAGGAGGTTTGAAATATGATTTATTATACAAATATTTAATTAATCCTAAAACATGAACTTATTTCTATTCATCTTGAAGACAAACATTAAAAAAAAAACCTACACGCACAATACACAAACTAAACACAAGGTTAATCAAACTTACAATCTAAGGTTAGTATTCTTAAAGTAAACATATATGAGTTTCATAAACTCCAGATCACGTCTAGCCAAAATATCCCGAACTGGAACATTAGGTTGTCTACCTCGAGCCCGAAGGGAATCGCACAGCTCAGATCTGACTCCACGATGCTCAGCACAAGACCAAAGGATGTGATCGGCGTCTTGGTAACCTTGTCCACATTCACAGAGATTGCTGTCTCCCAGCCCAACACGAAACAAGTGAGCGTTTAACGAATAGTGATTGGACATGAGGCGAGACATCAGACGAATGAAGTCTCGACCCACATCCAACCCCTTGAACCAAGGACTCTTCGACACCTTAGGGATGATCGAGAATAGCCATCGTCCCAAACTTCCTTCACTCCATTTATTTTGCCAGCTGGTGAGCGACTGTTGACGATAAATGAAGAAAAATTCATTGTAGGCGATTTGTCGATCGTAAATATCGCCTTGCATAGCGCCCACCTTAGCAAGTGAGTCAGCCATGTCATTGCCCGGAATCGAGCAATGAGATGGGACCCATGCAAAGGTGATGACAAAAGATCTTAAAGATAAAGCACTTAAAAGCTCTCGTATTTTCATGAGAAAATACGAGGAGTGCTTTACCGGCCTCATAGAGCGAATAAGGTGAGTGCCTTTTGGAATTTCTCTTTTCTTACAATATAGATGTATGCAACAAAGGAAATGAACCTACTTTTTCAAATGTCGAGAGGACAGGATAAAAGCACAACCGCATTGTTGACGTAGGATTTTGCTGATTATTAGAGGACGAGATTATTCAATAATATATTAATAACGAAAAAAAGGGTTAAGAAATTCAACTCCAAAACAAACAATTCATTATTCAAATTGGGCGGCTGTTGAATAAATCCTTAAATAAAGATTAAATTTTTAAAATTTGAAAATCAGTTCCTTTATTATTGATAATCAGGTTCCAAACACGTTCACCCAACTTTCTAAAAACTTACTAATGTTAGTAATGGCAAAACATGTTATGTTATATTGAAGAATCATGACAGATAAGTGGTTTTCAACTATAACTCATCTAAGTTAAGTTAAATTTAGTGTATATTTACCTATGCTCAATTAAACATCTATGAAATAGCAAACATTGTTATAATCAATGAAATGTCAGTATAATTGTTTCATTGAAGCATATTAAACAACCAATAGAATGGATTAATCCCAATATATACAACATATAGTTATAGTTTCCATAAATTTAATTATTTTTTGTTCTCTTTTCTTTCGAGATAGATTGTATCTATCGTGAGATATTCATCCATATTCTTGTTTTCCTTCGAACCTAAAATAATGTGTTTGTATGGTTCAAACGGTTCAAACGAACACTAGAGTATGGGTGATTGACAAAAAAAAACATTATTTGTGCCGAGGGGGGCTACTCATCTAAAGCTCAATTTTAGATGTTCAATAAATCTCACACTAGCGAATAAATCTTCGAATAATTTTCTTTCATTTCTGGCATCTACTTGCATCGCGCATCATCTTTTTGCAGGAAATCTTCAAAATCGTGATAAATATTTTTTCTATCTACTCAGCGTACGCGCAGCTAGCCACAGCCAAACACAATATTTCCTGCATCGTAGATAGAGTCGTCCCCCTCGACTTGTGCTTTGTGTAGTCACTATTTCCCAAGTAAGGGTCTGTTCATAAACTACGTAGACAGTTTTTTTTAGGATTCTTGACCCCCCCCCCTCTCCCTGCGTAGACAATTGTCCATACAAAATTTTTAAAATTTGTATGGTCCGTGGATAATTGTCAACCCCCCCCCTAAACTGTCTACGTAGTTTATGGACAGCCCCTAACGGCAAATAAAATGAAAGTTGAAGACAGACGCATAGCTCCAGTTGGAACGTAACAATACAGTTCTGAATGTACTGTATTCGTCTGAACAACTTTTTCAAAGACAGCCACCTTCTATGTAGCAGAGCAGTCAAGTTAAAGCAAAATTGTACATAAGCGCTGACATATATGAGAATTCTGATCTGAGCTGTCCAGTATACAATAGGTCAATCCATCTAAATAACTTTACTAAGGCTCTGAACCATTTGGCGGATTTTTTAACTTTTGGTTAAAATTTGACAGATGGAAAGTTAACCACGAGTAAAATTTAACTAAGCAAATGGTTCACAGCCTAAAGACAGCAACCTCCTGTAGTCGAAACACTGAAAACGAAACTACCTCAGAGAGTGAGTCACTTTTACTGATTCATATGGAAACATAATAATAGAGCTAATATTGTGTGTGGGAGGATAATTTCTCAAAAAGGGATTATACCATCTGTTTTCTGTTTATAGCCGTACGACTGCGCCCATTGATTTAACACACGGCGGCTCTTTATCCAGGATTCGCTCCTCAAGCCGCTGTCATAAAATACTATCAAAGTTACACAGCTGTGTATCATCCTTATGGGCGGGGTTGAATCGCGCTTATGAGCGGCGCG